CTTCCCCCCCCCGCACCCGGATCACCTCATGAAGTCCTGTGGCTCGACAGTGTTTGGTTGTCTTACAACACCTAGTCGACAATATCGCGTCAAGAGTCACTCTTCCCCCCCTCAGAAGAGCGTCGCCCAACCACTCACAAACCGTGTTAACGGCACATGTCTGGCTGCAATTGTCGTCGAGACAGACACGTGTGCCTCTGGCTAGACAGCAGGACCACTAGGATTACGGAAGAAACCTTTCGAAGTGTTCGATGCTTAGCGCATGTCGTTTACGTGTAATCATTCTGTGTTCACTTTGCCGCGTAAGTCAATTGTACGGCGCGTACACATGGACGTTTCATGGTCGATACACGTGGTGGACCAAGATAATTCGTTTATTATATGCATACACCTGTTAGCAATTTTTCATCCGTCTAACTTTTACAATCATCTCGATTGGATACTAAATTGGATCATCCCGAAGTGATTATGTGTTTTCAACGAGTTCATAGAGTATGGTATTTGTATGCATTAGTTGGGTTTTTACTTAGTAGTTTAGAGTTTAGTTGAGTTAAGTCTTTAGGAGTTATTGGGATTTGGTGGGGTTTCTTTGGGTTAGAAGTGTAGGTCGTTACACGTATAATAATAATAAAAGGGAGTACGTACTGGATTTTAATGATCTGATGATCGTTCATATCTTCTATATATAGCCAGGAATGAACTTGTTTTTTGTCTTTTTGTTTGTTTTTTTTCGTCTAGATTTTGTTCCATCTTCCGGAGACTCTTTTGTTTTTCTTGTTTGTTTTGAGTCTTTTGGCCTAGACGACCACCTCTTCGACACTCTTCCCCCCGTCGACTTTCCTGAAGTACTCCACTAGCCCACCCTCCCCGTTGACGTTCGCGATACAGAGGGCTTTATCAAATAACTTTGAGTGGAGCCAGAAGTTGAAGTACCAAACACTGACTCCAGGTACTCATCTGAGTGCCTCACTGAGAAAGTTATGTGCACCCCTGTAAATAACAACATTTATGCTAATTGTGCAAATTGCCCAACATATGCAAGTAAGAATCCAGCAGTTTCTATGAGCTGGAGACCCTACTATACATTTCTATCATAGAACTTTGGTCTACTCAATATTTCCTGGTACGCAATAGGACTCTATGAGCTGGCAACAAGATCCCTTATCTCATCTGCTCCTTTAGGCTTCAGATTCTTACAGATTAGGACATCAACGTTTATCAAATGTGTGTTCTTATTTACAGAAACATTTCAGTTAAAGGATTCATTCCTTTGCACTTCAATACAAACTTTCATAAAATCTCTATCACCCTAATGTCTCACAGTTAGATCTCAATGTTCCATTTGTTTCAGAGGAATACAGATCTGGAATGGCCTTCCAGTCATAACAAACAACAATAAGTCCAATTGTTTTGTTGCCTCTTCCTGCACTGTTCATCATCTATTATCTGTTATGTTTGTGTAATTTTAAATTGTGCTAAACCATTACACCATCACATAGTCAGGGTAGAGCAGTGTGCCGCATTCAATGTCTGTCTTTCAAGTCTAGAAACTGTGTGCGTCATTCAATATTGACTTTTCCTCAGGTAAAGGATCCTCTTACATCACACATGTGATGCAGGACGTGAATGATGTCTCTCACCTTGTGCCTCTCTCTGTTGTGCAGGTCAGGCAGTGTGATGGAGCGGCGGGCCATCACCCCTCCTGTAGGACCTCCAATGGGGAGGGGTCTGTACCGGCCCCCTGAAAACGGCCTCATCTCCCTGGACAAAATAGCCAAGAGAGAGTGTAAGGTGTTGGTGCTGGAACCAATGATAGACACACCCTGCAGGTAAGAAACCGCTTTAGAGAGGGCTTATCATGCTTTTTATAAAATGACAGATGATTAGAATTGTATGTACATGTATATATTGTAATATATATATTATTGTAGTACAATGTGAACATTTGAACATACTTTTTTTGTCGCATTCTATTTTTTGTTATTGTCAATAGGACATTTCTACTTTAATTTCTTATTTTTGTATAAATAAGTTTAATCTATTGTGTTGATTTTAATTTTTTTCTATTAAAACCAGCATCACATTTTACTTTTAATTTGGTGCTTCTCAAAATTAAAGATTTTAGATTCAGATTATTTCCTTTAAAGGTGGGGTAGGTAATTTTGGAGAAACCAGCTCGAGTGCGCTAGAATTTGAAAATACACAACCGGAGAAAATCTGCCACTTCCTTACAGAGCCCCTCCTCCAACACACACGAACGCGCACATGACCAATGAGGGCACGAGATAAGTTTGTGCACAGATGGAAGGCTGACAGGCAGGTAGGCCATCCAGTTACTTTAGCCGGGCCGGCCCAGATGATTGGTCGTGCTTTTTACAGTACTACGGCTTCCACAGATGAATTTTTGTATGTGTTTTTTGTCAAAGCACTTTAGATATTCATTGCTATCGGGATGTTAAGAGCATTCCATGGAATATAACAAAAAGTGTTTCTGAAATAAATTACATACCCCACCTTTAATGGTTTTACCTTTCATGAACCACATCACAATAACATTTAAATAAACTAAATCACTTTTTTCCATTTTCTCTTAATAACCTGGTTTCTAAAAATGGGTACATTTCTTCTGTTACTCCAACTTTGGCTTCTTTTGATTAATGATGACGGGTTTGGTGAAAAACATGTTTGTATTTCTCAAAGGAAAGTATTGAGAAACATCTAAGGTCTCATATTTCTGTAATGTTGGAATATTTTCAATAACTGGCAGAGGTCAGTGTGAGTGTTGTTAGTGCGACCATGAACAGACAGTTCCCTCTTGTGGAGGATCTTCATGAGGATCCCATTAGCATTAGCACTAGCATTAGCATTGGCATTCTTCCTGAGATCCACACACATACAGTCACATCAACTCAGCTTATGTAATGAACAGTCCAGGATACGTCCTTGTCTAAAATGACCTTGCTTTGTTTATTCATCTATCTTTTAGACATATTAACCCTTAAATGGGCAATCACATATAAATAATATGTATTGCTATTTTCTACATTACAACAATATTATGGACTGTACTTATATAGCGCTTTATCCAGTCTTTAAGACCCCTCAAAGCGCTTTACATACTACATGTCATTCACCCATTCACGCCCATTCATACAGAGCAGTGTACCTTACTCTAAGACCTAACATTCACACACATTCACACACCGTTGGCCATGCAACTCAGGGTTAAGTATCTTGCCCAAGGATACATCGACATGTTGACTGCATGGGCTGGGATCGAACCCACAACCTTCTGGTTGAAAGACGACCGCACTCCCTCACAGCCACAGTCGCCCTACATATTACACTTTTATTATAACTCCTCAACCCTATTAAAGCACTATTACACTTGTATTCCACCCACATTCCACCCATGTAACACTCTTATTGCAAACATTTATGGACACAGAAACCATTTAAGGATTACATTCCAAGAAAATAGGGTATTTAAATTATAACAATTAAATACATCTTTTTTGTAAACTCTCTACTTTCACTCTTGCTTACATTTTGTGTTTTTTTATAGTATACATAGACACCGTTTTAACGAACAGATCTTAAGTTTTCTCTTATAATAACAAGTAAATAATAGGAAAAGGGGGTGATCTGCCATTAAGGTTTAAGCTATATTCTTAGGATTATTTGCACAAACATGCATATGTAAAATGCTCAGTTATGATGGAAAAAGTGCATGTATAATGGACATTGTTCTTGGGATTGCTTAAAAGTCTGCTTCAAAGACTCAAAACTTCCACTAATACCATGATTACTTTTTCACTGTGATTCTTCACTCTGTCCCCCCTCAGATGACCCTGAGAGCAGAGTCTTACCGCAGACACACATTAGTGTTGGACACTCTGTCAGCTGACTCTGAAGGAGACATGACGAGGATGGAGTGATGGACGGAGGAGCAGAGAGGGGGGGTGCTGAAGGTGATGGAGGGATGCTGGTGGCCTTCTGTGGAGCCGCACCAATTCTTCATCTCATTGGTTTATCATTTCAATTTATTTGGTTTTTTACATTTCCTTCAAGCTATCATTCCATTTTACTCAATGGGTTATCCTATGCCTGTGAATTCTGCTTATATTTATACTTTATAGTACACAACCGTGATCGTTTTTTCATGGCAGCTCTGGTTTTCTTGTAGGATCTAATCAGGAAATCCCAGATTTCCTGCCATTGTCAGGTCTGGGAGCACAAATAGTGCTGGATGCTCACAGCAGTCTGTTTTCATACATAACAGTTTGTGTAATACACCTATTGCCATAACACACAGAGACCGTAAGATTGCATTCTTTTGGATTCATGGTGTACTTGGTTGCCAAAAAGCCAACAAAGTCTGCTGGGTTTTGGTTGGAAACATCCTAATAGGACAGTTTGACCAAGCCATTGTTGGTGAACATATATATATAGTAGTTCAAACAATAACTGCTCTTGTTTATTACAAATGTATACCATGTGGATCACAGAGCTGATGGAAGGTGTATTTATATTTATTGTGACAGAGCTCAGCTAGCCATTTCCAGTTTTTGTGCTAAGCTAATGTTCTGAACCTATTTCTGTGCTTAACCTACTGATGTAAAACTTGATATACCTACCTACTTACAATCCATATTCATAGACTTAAAGTTCTTTAACTGGACTACTGACATTATATATTATTGTTATAGGTGTGCACTGGATGAAAGCTGCATCTTAACTTAAAATTGAAGGGCTGTTTTACTGCTTTCCCCAGAGAAAGTTGGTATTTTTTCAAAATAGTAAAGTATTTAAATGAGTCTAAACTAGTCTGGCTGAATTATGTAAGTGTTATTGTATATATTTATTGTTGAGTTGGAGTGTTAATATTCAGGTTTTAAATGTATGTTTTTGTCTTTTATTTGACCCTTCGTATACACTCCATTGTCGGTGCACAGGGTCCAACTGATATCAAAGGGTTTTGTGAAGTTAATTTCCTAAGTTTTTTTGAACATTCCTAAAATTCACATCCCCAGCATTTCATTAAAGAACTCTTAAATGAAAAAAGAAAGTTTGTTAGTAAGACCGATCATTTTCTTTTTAGGAGACACCCAGGGTGCTTTGAAACACAACCCTTTTTGCGATTTTATGATAACGAAAAGAGGAACCATGTTTTGTAATTCTTTGAGTATTTTAGTTGTTTGTTTGCAGAATACATTACTCAAAGGACGTTGTAAAATCTTGACAAGAAAAACTGAAAGAATTATAATTTATTATTGAAAACATTATTGTTTCTACGTGTGGAATTATGTTCAAATGTTGTTAGCTGTCCTGCTGTGACTCACTAAAAGTTTGACCAAAAAAAAGCCAACAATGTCGTCCCAATAATCAGTACCAAATTGAATCACTTACTTTCTAAGAACTTACTAGAAAATGTTGAGCCAGTAAAGTAAAACTACCATAATAACAGAAATGGTTGTTAAAACATTAAGTGTTGTCACTGATTCCAATTCCTATAATTTTATAAATCCAACTTATTCAGTCTGTCATGACATCAGTTTTAGGCTGTTTCTCATTTACAGATGTGACCTACATCTGTAAAAAAAAGTGGATGTTAATATTAGGATAGCAAAGACCCTCCTAGAGGCTAATAAAGTGTTGGCAAGAAAGACCAATGTGCTGATGATCTACTGTAAAGAATGACCAGAAATGGTGCTTGAAGCAAACAAAGCTGATCTTTGGAGGAAAGACCATGGTTCATCCCCCTGAGAGCTTGACTGTGTTTTTAAAGAGATGATATATTTACCTTAAAGACTTGGAGATGCAGTAATGTATGGCAAAAACTGTGAGAGGGTTCATCCTCTGGGGAGCATACATGTGTGCAAACTGTAAATGTCATTGCTGTACTCTGCTTATTAGATGTTTCTTTAATGTATATTAGTGTGAAAAAAGGTTCATCCTCTACAACAATGAATGTTCCCAGCACATGTTCTGTAAATCTGACCAAAGTGTTGGTTGCAGGGAGTTGACAGACAAAAGGTCATGGGGTCAATAAAGTTGTAGGATCTTCCTCTGAGGTCCCTGAACAAAACCCAATGGGAAGCAAGTCCGTCGTTGAGTTAAAGAATGTGTGTATTTTATCATCCAAATGTTTAAGCTACACACACATTTTAGACTTATCGACCCCCAACATCTTTCATCATCATTGGTATGACTACTAACTGTTTATCCTTATCTTGAACCTCGTCTCAAAACACTGGATCGCTTAGAGAGTCACATATTCAGTTTGCAAGTAAGCTAATTGTTTTGTAAGCATGTTTTGGAGCTTCCGTTTTCTGCCTACATGGCAAATAAAGTTTAGCTGGGTAAGGTCTCTGTCTCTGAGTGATATTCTGTGGCCAGGCCCTCCCCTTTGACCTCTTTGCCCTCCCCCACACAAGTATTATTGTTTTAAATGTTACACTTTAATGCTCCAATCTTTATGTTGTTAGAAAATAAGTCAAATCGCCCCAAAATATACACCTCCAATGTCAACGATTTGCAGAGGTGGGAGAAGTACTCATATATTGAGTTCAAGTTAAAACTAGAAGTAGAAGTACCAGAGTGTAGGAATACTCTGTTACAAGTATTCTGCATTCAAAATGTTGCTCAAGTAAAAGTACAAAAGTATTATCATCAAAATATTCTTAAAGTACCAAAAGTAAAACTAGTCATTGTGCAGATTGGTCCATTTCAGAATAATATATATGATATGTTTTATAATGATTGATCATGAAAGTGTTCTCAAAGCTGGTAAAGGTGCAGCTAGTCTGAATGACTTTGTATACTGCTGGGTAGCTTGTGGATTTACTCCAGGTGGAACTAAAGTCTGATTTAACACTTGATTATATTTCACATCATTCATCCAGGTCTGTAAAGTTACTAAACGAATGTAGTTGAGTAAAAGTACACCATTTACCTCTGAAAAATTGACATACTCAAGTACAGCACAAGTATCTCAAAATGGTACTTAAGTACGTGAGTAAATATACTTAGTTACTTTACACCACTGACTATATATGATCAGGCCACATTTAGACCAATCGCCATTCAGAACATCACGCAAGCAAGTTTGCGTGCGTTACACTGTGCCACCTGTTCTGAGTTTGGAGTCTGGCTTTAAATTCTTTTTACGTTTTAAGTAATGGACATCAGGAAACAACTTAAAACAGTGAGTTTTAACTATTTTTATACAACAGGGAAACGGAGTCTCCAGCTGCTTTAGCATCGAGCGGTGAGTACACTGTTTCCATATTAACTTGATCTCCTGCTGCTGTTGATGAAGATGACACTGTTCGACAAAGACAAACACACGTTTGTCTGCACGCATTTAATTCCAAAAAATACATTACACTTAAAGGCACATTTTTCTGTAAATTAAACGTACACATCTGACTAAAATTACATTCTTTAAAGCATAAGTTAATACAGCAAAACACATGAACAATATCTATAATATTCACAACACTTCCTTCATTTCTCAGTTGTATTCCTCCTTGCTGCTGAATTATCTTCAGAACACATTTGGTCTCATACAGCAGGTGTTTGTTAGATTCAGGTAAACAGCTCACATGGAAGTTACTTTTTCAGTCTTTGGTTCATCCATGTTTGCATATGGGACACCTAAAAAGAAAAAAGATAGATTTTTAGAACTGCACAGATGATCGCATCAGTAATTATATGATAGTTGATCACATGTTTTATTGTAGATGTTCATAAAGAAGTGAAATCTGTCTACAGGCATTCAACCAAAATGGAAGTCAACGTTTTAGGAAATTCCCCTTGAATTAAATAACTTTGGAAATTAGCATAGAGGTCAACATTTCGGTGTATTGCATACAACAAGCTTTGTGGCCAACAAACGTCTTTGATACTTAACAAGTTTTGTTCAGCAGGGTAATCTCCACATATTAACGCCACTTTGTGATTTTTTAATCGTATGTGCAATCAGCAGAAATAAAAGCTAATATAGTGCTATAAACAAACTACATTATGGTCGCACGGCTACCACCGCTAAGCTCAAAGTGGGCTCGTGTCGGCTGGATGACGTTTGGTAGTTTAATTGGTTACTTGTTAGGGTTTTTATGACAAGTAGAAGCTTCAGACATTCAGATGTGTTTTATGTCGTGGAAAAAAACTTGAAAATCTCATAAGCTTATGTTAATCACAGACCTCTTTGCCACAAATCTGTTCAAAAACGATTTACTTTGAGTGATGAGGAAACCAGAAGTGATAAAATGCGAACTCCTTTCCGAGTTTTAGGAGTGTTGTTGACATATTTAATGTCGTAGTACAAAGCGCGAAAATCTCGTAAGCTTGTGTTAACCAGAGACCTTTTAACCACAAATGCGTTCAAAAAACGATTGACTTTGTGACGAGGCAACAAGAAGTGGTAAAATGCTAAGTCTTTCGGGTTTCAGGGCTCACTACTGCACCACTTTATTAGGAGACTATTGGTCCTAATAAAGCAAATCCTTGTATCTACTTCCCTTTTTTTATTCAAAAGACTAACATGACATTCAATTGGGCTAATTTCCTTGAACAATAATGAAAATTCTTACTTGCTGATGTCAGGCTTAGTTTTTTCCCCTTGCTCTTGCTTTTCCTGCGAACAGAAGATAACAGATGTGAGTGTTTGAAAGAAATGAATGTGATTACAACATTTGTGCCTGCAGGGGAGGTGGTAGATATGGTTCGAAAGTAAAGGTAGAGTGAAGTCAGTCCCTCCTCAGTGCTGATACAGTATGCTCCCAGAAATACCCCAAAAAGGTGATGACACTGTAATTTTATCTCACCCCCATAGAGACGACTGCTTTCTCTGAATTACATAAACATACGACCTGCAATGAAATTCATTTGATTTATTTATATTTGCCTTGGTTAGAGTGTATTCAGTCTGTTTGTAGAGGACAGCAGCAGTTTCCTTTGGCTGTGAAGTGTCAGTCAGCAGTCATGCCACGCAGAACCACACATCTATTCACATCCTTCTACACACAAACGCTTTAATAAATGCCCATAATATCAGTGTACTTACTTGGATTTTCGTCTGCAAACACACACAATGGCGGTCACAATTGCGATGGCAGCGACTGATGCCAGGACTGCGATCAGGATAATCCACTTGGTTTCTGAAAAAATAGAATGACGAATTAATTAAACCAAAACTTTGACTCTGTGTTTCTCCAAAAAAAGTTGAAAGCTAAAGACAGTCAGTCAAAATGTAGTTTAAATCTCTTTCATACATCTTCCTTATTTGTAAAACAGAAAATGGCTAGTCTGTTAGTCTTTAACACTATTGCTAAATAGTTAAATACAGAATAGAGGAATTATTTTCTCCAAAACAAAGTATGAGTAATTAAAACTTATAACAACACAGAATAAAGCATGTTAAAAACATGTTGTTTTTCTAATGCTGTTTGCTAGACATAGGATACAGAGGCAGCAAGCTAACCGCTAAAGCTTGTTTAGCTTGTTTCCTTGATAAGATCCAGATGTTCAGAAGGTTTTGTACAGGGAGCTGAATTATCCATGAAAATATTACCCTCTACTCTATAAAAACAAACAGACATATTGAATACAACCAATTCAACACTTAATAAAGCAGTATCACGTTAAATATCCGTGTTTTCTGATGCTGTGGCTGCGAGCTAACCGCTAACGTTTGTTTAGCTTGTTTCTCTGTTCACTTAACATCCAGACATCAGGAGGTTTTTTTACCGAGACTGTACTTTCCCACAAATATATATAATTCCTCTCCGAAACAAATGGACCCATTGAATACAACAAATAAAACACAAAATAAAGAAGTATCTGTTTCTCTGATAAGTGCACTCCTAAAAAAAACAGCTTAGACCAATTTAGCTGGTCAGGCTGGTCTTGAACCAGCAAGACCAGCGTGTCCAACCTGTGTCCAACCTAACTCCAACCTAACACCAGCTAACACCAGCTACCATCTTAAGCTGGTCTATGCAGTTTTTTTCAGCAGGGTGAAGCTCCTGCTATCTCGTGAGTAAAATCGTTCATCTGGTTAAAATAAATATATAGTGCAAAACAATCAAGGGTATGGTAATATGGCATTTAAAACTGAATAAAAAGTAAAATTATGACAGCAGAAGTATAATAAAGAACTGTCACCTAAATATCATAGTTTTTCACTTGTCATTGGTTTTGTAAATCGAATCAGTAGAGAAACTTTTTTCTTGTAGCATGATTTTATTGAGCTTTCCGTACCCAGTCCTCCTCCGGTTTGTGTGATCTCCACCTCGCAGTTTGTTCCCTGGAATCCGTCCGCACACAAACAGGTGTAGGTGCTGTTGCTGGCCTCCTTACACGCTCCTCCGTTCAGACAGGGGTAATCCAGACAGGGACTCGCTAAACACAGAACAAAACATTAATTAGTTTGATTCTGTTTCTTTCTCTCACAATCATCTTTTTAGCATTTGCGGTGTTGCAGTACTATACGTACTATACTATACTATACTATACTATTTTCCCTAAAGGGACATGAAAAAAAAAAAAAAAAAAACAGAGAGAAAAAAAAAAGTCAGGATAACAGGTAGTATCTCGTGCGCACGAGATACTTTTGCACAACATTTTTTTGGGGAGAAAGTTACTGGTGCGCCAAGGAGGAAGTGAAGCGCACAGGACACAACCATTTCATTGCAGACTGTTATGTTTACGTGGGGAAATGACAGTGCATTATTTGAGATATATTTCGTACTCAGACTTCACTTTAAGGACATTTCGGCCAGGGGTGTGTGGTCACTCCAGGAGGCAGCGGGAGGTGTAACTCAGAGAAGAGCAGCACCAGCGCTCAAAGAGCTTTTACGCACCGCCTTCTGTGTTTACCTTCATTGAACAGCTATAAAGAGTGACCACAGGCTGTTACGTTTTAACCACACACTCTACACACACACACCGAACTGCCCGATTACTCCCCCTTTTATTAGTTTTATGAAGGAGATCGCCGGTCATCAGGACGCATTGTTAGAATATGACATAGATATATGTATATTGTATATGACTTATATTATTACTGTGCACCACATTGTCTATGTAAGTAGCTGCGACTACTAACTGTGTTCCATTGGTTTAGTGCATGACCACATGATTGATGATGCACTACCTAGTGGTATAAGACCGTTGGAAGTCACGCCCCTTCTCGTCTGTCCTCAAGCGCTTCTTGAGTGTGTGCCTTAAAATAAATAACGCCTGTGAAACTAAAAACTTGAACGACTGAGATTATTCACCTTTCTGCTGCAGGAGACAAAAGGTTTAAGTCTAAATCTGCTAACAGGTTAATGGGCCCAGGATAAGCGACGAATGATTCTCAAGTTCGGAGTACGCGCTAAGAGTGCTAGTTGTAGCAGCCGCGTTGTTAAAGCTAAGTTTAGCCAGGGAAGCTAAAGCTAAGCTAACAGAGGGCGCTAGCTGAGTACCGGGAGCGACAACACAGAAAGACATGGCAAACTCCTCACAGAAGTAAATGGCCCTCGTTCAACGGGAACGCAGAGGAATACGAGCTTCTGGGAGGAAAGGATGCTGTGTACTGTATGCATGGAGTAGGATGGAAAGAAATCGGATCCTACGAGCACCTACGGAGACCGGACCGCGAAGGAGCGGATCGCCGGACGAGAAGCTGAACGAGGGGACGCATATTGTGCGTTCTCCCACTCGATAATACTATCTGGACTTTACAAGACACTAAGACCAAGCCGAAGAAGTCTCAAAGTTTGAAGAACAGTTATCTAAGGCAGCCACGGATTTAACTCTGTACACGACGTTAACCGCGCTAAGGAAGACGGTCAACGAGACGATGACGGAGTATTATTATCCGAGCGGAACAGATCATGCACCACTCAGAACCTGCCGAAGCACCGATGAAGGATTGATATGCGATGGTAATGCGTGGTTACCAGAGAAATACAAGCCGTTCACATTACTTGTGACACACGGAGATACGGGACTGACGTTTGGGGACAGTTCATAGGCGAAGCTAAGGAACTTTGAGGCCGCAGAAGACACAGATTCAGCCGTCGGACCG